ATCCCACCTTTTCTTAGAACTAATTATACTAACCCAGCCTATAATAATAAATATGTAAGAAGTAAGCCTATAAAGTCTGATGATTGTATTCCAATAAACGAAGTATGCTGATCACTCAGATTGAGTGACTGTGTCTTCCCTCCGTTCCGGCGAAAGGCACAACAAAGTGGCGCCCGAACAGGGACCAAGGAAGAGGAACAGGGACCAAGAAAGAGAAGCGGTTGGTCATAAAGCTGGCCCCAAAGTGCTGAAATACTTGAAGACTGCAGAGTGTCCGTCTGTCCCAGGAGACGGGGACATGTCTCTGGGACATGTCTCTAGGACATGTCTAATGTCTGCTGACGGACTGCATATCCTCCTTTCATCCCAGCGCCCATGAGGAGTTCGCACTTGTTCAGGATTCAGGTTGCTGCTCTGAATTATGGATTCGGTGTGAAGCAGCTGAAAGGTAGCCAGCCCAGCCTGATGTGCATCCTCTGCTTTCCGAACAATAGTTTAACGGCAGACAGCCGTTACGCTGCCCACGATATGGAAGAGGATGATAAGGGCGACTTTGCTGCAGACAGCCCTGCCCCAGCAGTGCGTCAGGACTCCTTGATTTTCTGTGTTTATTTTTATATCCTGATTTTCTGTGTTTCCAAGGTCCTGGGCAGCCTGCTGCATGTGACTCTGCTTCGAGCAGGTATTTGGCCTGCACCATCCGCAGAGGTCCCTGCCCCCTCAGCTGTCCGGCAATGCTGAACCACTGTGGAAGGCTGGCTAGCTGACCGGGGACATGTAAACATCGAAATGTTAAGTCAGTAGGAACTTAATAATTATCGCACACAGCTGGTGTAATAGCCAATGAAAGACAAGAATATTGTAGCTAATTAGATACTGTTGCAAGTATAGTGGAATGTTTGGCAAAGACACTGTACTCCTATTGTTAGACCATCTGGTTGAAACCGACCTCGCAGTCTGAAGCTCTGCCAACTCAACATTCTGGGCCAAAGGTGAAGGTACCCGGTGAGGAAGACTGTGAATCTTCCTCCAAAAGACCCCAATAGACGACCACCAGACGGCAGTACGCGTGCGCCAGGAGGAGGAACCCTATGATAATAGATTCTTAGAAGTAATTAGAATATCCCACCTTTTCTTAGAACTAATTATACTAACCCAGCCTATAATAATAAATATGTAAGAAGTAAGCCTATAAAGTCTGATGATTGTATTCCAATAAACGAAGTATGCTGATCACTCATATTGAGTGACTGTGTCTTCCCTCCGTTCCGGCGAAAGGCACAACATAAAACCACAAGGGAAATTTTGTTGGGAACATTCTCAAGACCTATACTCTAAGGACTACTTGTTTGTCTGGACTAACTACCCCAAAAGGGCTGAAGTCATAAGGCAGAAGTCCACTGCCCTATTTGTACCTGGAAGAGTAATATTCTTCTTCTAGCTCGTACAGGTCAATGGAGATCTCATCCCGCAGTGCAATCAACTTCTTGTCACATTCCTCCTGCAAGCTTCTCAGCTGCTGGTTGCGCTGGTTGATAGCTTCATTCACAGAGGGGAAATCATTCAGGATCAAGAACTGCTTCAGGTCAGACACCAGCTTCATCAGGGACTCACCAGCTCGGACCTTGTAGCAGCGAAAAAAAAAATAAAAACCACACGGTATATCAAAACAGTGCTTTGCTCCAATTCTAAAACAAGATCTCCCAAGCTGCCCCTTCAGCCCAAGCCTTGAATAAAGTAGAAACTCCCACATTACATGAGGATCCTGACAGAAGCCTGTAGCTGACAAGCCAGGCTACGCAGCTTTCCCCCTAGAGAAGGAATTCAGCCAACAGCCACCCCCAGCATCAGGTTACTCTTCTAGCAGCAGTCCTTGTGAGAGTTCTAAAGGCTGCCCTAGATGCAATAATGAACGCAACAGTACCTGAAGGACGTGCTGCCCACCGATTTGAACAGCAGATGCTACTCACAATGTTTGCGGCTCTGACATGCATCTCATAGTTATCTTGTTCACCCTGGGTTGCTCGAGAGACTTGAGTTTCATCCTCAATCTAAAGAAAAAAGTGTACATATTCACCTTTACATACTAGAATCCTGATAAGTAATTACTACATTATAAGGCATCTCATTTCAGTTCAATCCACACCTGGAAACCCTGGGGCGGCCTCTGGACTCTACAGCACCCACGGATCACCTTTGCTACCCTCCCCGCTTGCTTCTGCGGTTCTCCCCCGTTCAGCAACATCGCCTGGCTGCCCGCAGGGCGGCGGCAGGGAGGCCAGCAGCAGCCGGGGAGAACCGACCACCGCCCGCCCTAGCGAAGGAAGCCCCTTCCCTCACGGCCGCCCTCGGGGGAACCGGGAGAAAGGTCCCGCCGCCGCCCCTTCTCCCCCCAGGGCCCCTGCTCTCCCCTCAGGGCCCCTGCTCACCCCTCAAGGACCCCTGCACTCCCCTCAAGGACCCCTGCACTCCCCTCAAGGACCCCTGCACTCCCCTCAAGGACCCCTGCTCTCCCCTCAAGGACCCCTGCTCTCCCCTCAAGGACCCCTGCTCTCCCCTCAAGGACCCCTGCTCTCCCCTCAAGGACCCCTGCTCTCCCCTCAAGGACCCCTGCACTCCCCTCAAGGACCCCTGCACTCCCCTCAAGGACCCCTGCTCTCCCCTCAGGGACCCCTGCTCTCCCCTCAGGGACCCTGCTCTCCCCTCAAGGGCCCCTGCTCTCCCCTCAGGGACCCCGCTCTCCCCTCAAGGACCCCTGCACTCCCCTCAAGGACCCCTGCACTCCCCTCAAGGACCCCTGCTCTCCCCTCAGGGACCCCTGCTCTCCCCTCAGGGACCCTGCTCTCCCCTCAAGGGCCCCTGCTCTCCCCTCAGGGACCCCGCTCTCCCCTCAAGGACCCCTGCACTCCCCTCAAGGACCCCTGCACTCCCCTCAAGGACCCCTGCTCTCCCCTCAGGGACCCCTGCTCTCCCCTCAGGGACCCTGCTCTCCCCTCAAGGGCCCCTGCTCTCCCCTCAGGGACCCCGCTCTCCCCTCAAGGACCCCTGCACTCCCCTCAAGGACCCCTGCACTCCCCTCAAGGACCCCTGCTCTCCCCTCAGGGACCCCTGCTCTCCCCTCAGGGACCCTGCTCTCCCCTCAAGGGCCCCTGCTCTCCCCTCAGGGACCCCGCTCTCCCCTCAAGGACCCCTGCACTCCCCTCAAGGACCCCTGCACTCCCCTCAAGGACCCCTGCTCTCCCCTCAGGGACCCCTGCTCTCCCCTCAGGGACCCTGCTCTCCCCTCAAGGGCCCCTGCTCTCCCCTCAGGGACCCCGCTCTCCCCTCAAGGACCCCTGCACTCCCCTCAAGGACCCCTGCACTCCCCTCAAGGACCCCTGCTCTCCCCTCAGGGACCCCTGCTCTCCCCTCAGGGACCCTGCTCTCCCCTCAAGGGCCCCTGCTCTCCCCTCAGGGACCCCGCTCTCCCCTCAAGGACCCCTGCACTCCCCTCAAGGACCCCTGCACTCCCCTCAAGGACCCCTGCTCTCCCCTCAGGGACCCCTGCTCTCCCCTCAGGGACCCTGCTCTCCCCTCAAGGGCCCCTGCTCTCCCCTCAGGGACCCCGCTCTCCCCTCAAGGACCCCTGCACTCCCCTCAAGGACCCCTGCACTCCCCTCAAGGACCGGGGTGTCGGGGAGCGCCGGGCTGGGGAGCGCCAGCCTCTCTTGGGCGATGGCTGCCCGGGCGAGGAGATGAACAAAACGGCGTCCTTTCAGGGAGCTACATAAACCTTCTGGAGTCAAACCGAAGGATTCGCTCTCTCTGGGAGAGCAGGGCTGGGCTGGGAGGTTGCCAGGCTGAGGACATGCCGGGGAAAACGCATTCCCAAGGTGGGCTGAAAGCTCTTGCAAGTACCCAGCTGTTCGAGGCAAAGGACGGAAGAGTGTGTTTCTTGCTTGCAGCCGAAAGGAAAGAAGGCCAAGGGCAAGAAGGTGGCACCGGCCCCTGCTGTAGTCAAGAAGCAGGAGGCCAAGAAGGTCGTCAATCCCCTCTTTGAGAAGAGGCCCAAGAACTTTGGCATTGGTGAGTACGTGGGTATTTGGGCTACTCGCTCAAGGCTCTTTTGTTGTCTGAACGGTAAAGAGAAGCGTATTGTACTAAAGCTGTGGAGTGGAGAGAGCGATGAAGGCAGTCGCCTGGCTGGCTGCCTGCAGTTACGAGCTGTCCTTCATTAGGTACGTGAAGGTGGCTATGGGCAGTTTGCTGAATTTCCCGTATTGACACAGATCCATTATATGACTCTCGCGTGATGAATCTTGCCCCTTTGCACGTGGTGTGGTAAATCGGTTCAGACATCTGTAGTGCCTTTTTTGTGCGGCGTGCAGATGATGTGAAAGAATATTTGCTATCTGAGTGACAGTGCTGACGTGTCACCACCAAGATCACTGATGCGCTCGTGCCTGTTCCATGCTGTTGCTGCGTGGGTTTGGAACAGCTTTGAGTTCAAGTCCGTATTTTTAGGACAGGATATCCAGCCGAAGCGTGATCTCACACGTTTTGTGAAATGGCCGCGTTACATCAGACTGCAGCGCCAGAGGTCCATTCTTTACAAACGCTTGAAGGTGCCTCCTGCCATTAACCAGTTCACTCAGGCTTTGGACCGCCAGACAGGTAAGGATGTGCCCCACAAAGTTCTCTTGGCTTGGGTCGTTAATGGGATGTGCCTCAGAGAAGAGGTTTCTTTTGAAGCCAAACTTAAGACTTAACAAGGATAAGCTGGAGAGTATCTTCGGAAGCATTTTAGGGAGGTTTTAATAGTGACTGGGGTGATGTCAACAGCAAGCTGCTGTCTGAATTTGCTGGCTTAAGTCTTGATACCAGCTACGTACTTGGAAAAGGGAATAGAAAATGCCAAAGGTCCTCCTTGATGACCCAAACCCAGGGTTACCTCAACTGCATGTTTCCCTCGGAGTCCATTCTTCCAGCCGTAGGGTTCTTTTAACTGTGTAAACAGATAGTTTGAGAAATCTATATGAGTGCAGGCTTTGGGGGGAAAGCCAGCATCCTGCAGGCTGACACCGATACGGGGAAGAAGGGACTTCAGGGTCTTCTGTGAAACGAGTAAATAGTCTTTTCCAGGTGACAGTGTCTGTGCAAGAAACTTTCAGCCTATGTAGCGTAACTCCCTCGTAGATGTTGCCAAACAAGTTGCTTGCTTTAAAGGAGAAAGTGCACCACCTTTAACCGTAATTGCTGTGGGGGTCAACAGGCATTTCCTCATCCAAACAGTGAAGGAGCTCTCGCTGCCAACAGAGGTGCACGTAGAGGTAAATACAGGCTCTAGAGGCACTCTGCTCCTGCACTGCGCAAATGATGCTAACTGCTGTCTGAATACACCTGATGACAACCACCAAGATCGCTGATGCACTGCAGTCTTTTTAAAAGTAATGCTTGGATTTTTTTCAGGTCACGCAGCTAACTAACTAGTAGATGTTCTCTTCCAGCTACACAGCTTCTGAAGCTGGCGCACAAATACAGGCCAGAAAATAAGCAAGAGAAGAAGCAGAGGCTACTGGCTCGTGCTGAGCAGAAAGCTGCAGGAAAGGGAGATGCGCCAACTAAGCGGCCACCGGTCCTCCGAGCAGGTAACGTACGTGGACCTGGCTGCTTGCATATAGGGGAGCGTGGTGCTTTGTTAGAGAACTGGTGAGTTGGTGCTCTGCTCCAACCAAGCAGGACTGGACAAGCTATTGCGATGATGTATGAATTTCTTCACCTGAGCTCAAAGTGAAGAGCAAAATAGACGAGCTTTTTAACCCTGAGCTTTAGCAGATGGTCCACGGAATATCTTCTCTGTGCTACTGAATGGATGTGAAAAGTTTTCACGACTTTAGTAATGAAGCTGCGCTATGGAATCTGAGCTGGTTGTATGAGGCTTATGTGAAGGCTCTGAAAATAGACTGAGCAGAATCAAAGCTTACCTATAACTTGTTTTTCAGGTATTAACAGTGTCACAACTCTGGTGGAGAACAAGAAAGCTCAGCTCGTAGTTATTGCCCACGATGTGGACCCCATTGAGGTAAGCATACTCACTGGTAAATGTTACAGCCTACCTGTGTAACTTTGCTGAGGTCAGAACTGGGCTTGGGGTGAAAATGCATTTTAGGACACATTTATTGCATGAAAAGAGAATGCATAAAAAGACACGTTCACCAGAACTGGAATACTTCAGCATGTTCGTAGTTGTCCTGGTATTACAGTGAGGCTTGGCCCTTGCAATGATGTATGAATTTCTTCACCTGAATCAACAGTGAAGAGCAAAGCGAGCTTTTTAACACTGAGCAATTGCCACAGCCCAGGCTGATTCAAAGAATAAAAAGATGTTCTCCCTCAGTTATACAGCACGCTCCCTTTCTTTTTAGCTGGTGGTCTTCTTGCCAGCTCTGTGCCGCAAGATGGGAGTGCCGTACTGCATCATCAAGGGCAAAGCCAGACTGGGGCGACTGGTCCACAGGAAAACTTGCACCTCCGTTGCTTTCACCCAGGTTAACCCGTAAGTATTCGCTGTGCTGACTTGATCCACTGTAGTGGAGAAAGCAAACTGCCCGTAAGCACGGGCTATAGGGCAGATGGATATCAAACTTGGGCCTTTCTAGTTTAAAGTCGTAAAACTAAAATACCACCTCTGTAATGTCTGACGTAGATGTCCTTTTGTATAAAGAGCTCTCTCGGATCCTGAAGATACACATTACTTTGGCTTACCAAAATGGATAGTTACTCTAAAATACGTAGATGGAACTATTAACCTTAATCTGAGCACTGCAGGTTCCTAAAACATTGGTGGTTGGAGCGATTAACCCTTTGCAAATGATGCTTATGCTTAATGTGAAAAATGACGTTGCCACTATGAGCTCTTAAATACCGAGGCAAAAGATTTATGGAGAATGTTAAATTGAGGCTCTAAAGGAACTAAAACTGTCACCGACAGGGAGGATAAGGGAGCCCTCGCAAAGCTGGTGGAGGCTGTCAAGACCAACTACAATGACAGATATGATGAGGTAAGATTCTCTCTGTTGCTAGCCTTGTGTTTTAATTTATACTGTTAACATCCCCAAAAACTTCCCAATGAAATGCAAATCATTTCAGACATAGTGACATCAGCTTAAAGCCTGTTGGATGTGGTGTTCCTAGATTTGCTTATGAGATATCCAGATTCTTTACCTGAGGGTAGTTACGAGTAAACGGAGCTATCACAGGGCTAGG